AGTACTCGGGGGCTGGGCGTCTCTTGGAGTCGGCAAACCTCTTGGTGGTCTCGGAGGAGCGGTTGAGTGTGTTGATGGTTTCTCTCCAGATGCGTTGGCAGCGACGGATGTGGTGATTGACTGATTTAACCGATATCTCTCTCTCATCTGCGGGGAAAAGAGGTGGTTGATAGCCGAGACTGACCTGGAAGGGGGATTGACCGGTAGAAGCAGACTTGAGTGAGTTGTGGGCGTATTCTATCCATGTGAGATACAGGCTCCAATCGGTGGGGTTGTTCGAAGTGAGACATCTGAGGGTGGATTCGAGGTGCTGATTCATCCTCTCTGTTTGACCGTTGGACTGAGGATGATAGCCAGAGGTTATTGAAACTTTACAATTGAGAGCTGAGCAGAAAGCCTTCCAAACCTGTGAAATTAATTGGGGACCACGATCTGAGAGGATGTCCTGTGGAATTCCATGGAGACGGAAAACCTGCTTTATCAGCAGTTGAGCGGTTTGGAAGGCCGTAGGAAGCTTTCTGAGAGGGATCAGGTGACAGGACTTGGAGAATCGATCTACAATAGTGAAAATAGTGGACATACCTCGGGAATAAGGGAGACCAGTGACGAAATCAATTGCAATGTGGGACCATGGACGTGTGGGCAAACCAGAGGGTGGTTGATGTGAGGCCTTGTTCCGTGCACAGGTGGAGCAGGCCGACACATATTCCTTAACATCACGATGAAGAGTGGGCCACCAAAAACGTCTTGAAATCAGAGAAACTGTTCGGCTTACCCCCGGATGAGCGGAGAATTTGGCGGAATGCATCCATTGGATGAGGCGAGACCTAACAGACGAAGGGACATAGGTTCGATTAGGTGGACCATTACCTGGATCAGGTTCCGTGGCCAGAGCAGCGTTGATTAAATCAGAGATCTCCCAGGTGACCATTCCTACTGTACATGAGGCAGGGAGAACAGGTTGAGGTGACTCGGATTGATCCACAGCGTAGAGACGAGAGAGAGAATCAGGCTTGATATTCTTAGATCCAGGTCTGTAGGAGATAATGAGGTTAAAACGTGAAAAGAAGAGAGACCACCTTAACTGTCGAGGAGTTGCTTGTTTTGCGGACTGGATGTAGGCGAGATTCTTATGGTCAGTCCACACTAGAACTGGATGCTCAGCTCCTTCTAGCCAGTGTCTCCATTCCTCCAGGGCTAACTTGATAGCCAAAAGTTCTCGGTCACCCACGTCATAGTTATGTTCTGCGGGAGAGAGCTTACGTGAGAAGAAGGCACAGGGGTGGATTCGTTGATCTGAGTCGAGTTTTTGGGACAAGACTGCCCCCACGCCGGAGTCTGAAGCGTCAACCTCAAGGATGAATTGTTTGGATGGATCTGGTTGGATCAGCACTGGAGCTCTGGAAAACAAGGTTTTGAGTTTGTCAAATGCAGATTGAGCCTCGGAGGACCATTGGGAGACTCTCTTGGATGATGTCAAGGCAGTTAGTGGGAGGGCAGTTTGGCTGTAATTTCTGATAAATCTCCGGTAGAAATTAGCGAAACCCAAAAATCTTTGTAATTGTTTGCGGTTCTCTGGAACTGGCCACTCCAAAACTGCCTTTATTTTTAGTTCGGAAGGCTTAACCTGCCCGCCCTCGAGCACAAACCCCAAAAAGGTAACTGAAGATTGGTGAAACTCACATTTCTCAGCCTTTACAAAAAGTTTGTTCTCCAGCAGTCTTTGAAGAACCAGGCGGACATGTCTCTTATGCTCAGAAAGATCCTTGGAGTAGATTAGAATGTCATCTATGTAGACCAGGGGTCTGCAACCTTTCATATCCAAAGAGCCGTTTTGCCCAGAGTCCGACTAAGTAAAAGTTGTTTAGAGCCGCAAAATGTAACATGACTTTTTCTAGAAAACCTTATTTTTTTTAATCTTGTATAGGAAATTAGTTGTTGCCATCTCAAACAATCAACAAATCATGTATTTTTAATGTTAAAACATATAATTTTCAAGCTAATTCATAGAAAAATGTCTCTTAAAACATATTTTGGTTCTTTTAATCTCATTCTTTTCCCACTTATAAAAAACACTAAAGCTATTGATACCGGTATATATTAAAGTAAATTATTTAACTCTTTATATACATTTTAGCCACTATTAAGAGCCACTGGAGAGGGTCCAAAGAGCCATATGTGGCTCTGGAGCCGCAGGTTGCAGACCCCTGGGTTAGATGAATCAGTTCTTCGAGTGTAGCTGGTTCATCGAGAGTAGCCAGCTCATCCTTAATATTTTCGTTTAATGCCTCAAAATATGCTCCTTTTAAGGCGCTTTGGTTCCAACCGGAAGCAGCCGCTTTAACCCGGAAGTTTATGTAAAATTCAGCCACTGAAGAATTTCCCTGTTTTAAGTGAAAAAGAGCTTGTGAATCAAGGGTTTGATCGGTGTCCTGATTGAAAACCTGAGAAAACTCTGAAATGAAATCTGTGTATCGACAATTTAGGCTCTCATCTGAGGCAAATCTGGCTTGAGCCCAGGCTAGAGCTCTTCCTGTTAATTGAGAAAGAATGAAGGTTATTTTCTTGTGGTCCGTGGGAAAACTGCCTGAAGAGTTCTGGAAAATGAGGCGACATTGAAATAAAAATCCCTTACAGTCATTAACTTTACCAGAAAACTTCTCTGGAAGACTTGGGCGGAACTCGGATGACGTCACCGCTGGTGACCTCGGAGGTGGGACTGGACCCGGAAATGGTTGAACTGCCGGCATGGCATTTGCACTATTTATATGGTTAGCGTAGCTTTGGAGCATCTGATTTTGCATCTCAATATGCGTGTTTAACTCACGAAGAGCCAGGGCGTGTCCATGGATTTGGGCTTCTTGTTCCTCTAAACGACGGCGGAGGTGATCTGCTGGGCCTTGTGTCTGGCCGCAGTGTTCTGTCATGATGGGTTAACAGAGAGGCCCAAGATGCAGAACACTGACGACTCAGAGGGAAAGTTTAACAAGTTTATTGTTTGCACAAGCATGAAATAAATGAACAGTTGAACTGGTTCTTGTCTGGGACAGGTTCACCGGAGTCTGTGAGAGAGACAGTTCTGTTAGCGAAGGCTTGGTTGGGATTGATCTTGATTGAGTTCAGGTCTGTACCTTGAAGTGCGTAGAAGAGGCTTTGGGAACGGAACTGTTGGGTCCGGAGATGATTTGGTTCTGCAGAGTCCGTAAGCTGTCTCAGCGTCTTACTTTTAGAGACGAGTTTGACCTTGGCTTGAGTTTCCAGCTCAGTATCCAGAGCTGCTTGAAAATCCAGAAAGTAAGTCTTCAGGTTTGGCTCGGAGGGCAGGCTCGGCTGGTTAAGCTCTTCCAGAGCTTCACAGGAGAAAAGCAGGTAACCTGGAAGCAGAGACAAAAAGGGTTAGAACCCAAACAGGACTCAGGGGTAACTAGGTTCTCAGAGGATCTATGGCTTAGGTGCTAACCAACTGATTAAGACACTGCGGCGTCGAGGCAAGGTCTGAAGACAGCTTATGTAGTCTGGTCCTCCAGATGAGGTGATCAGAAGCAGGTGCGTAGACAGCTCAGCTGAGAGGAACCAGGGCGGACTCTGCTGGAGAAAGTAGGCATTTCTCCAGCTCCCAACAAATTTGGTTTACATTTTAAGTTGGATTTTTGGATTCCTTCCTTTGTTTACTGTTTTCATCAATTAAAATGCAAGAAATCTTCTTCTGGAATCTTGGGTGTTAGCCTCTCTGCCTCTGCATTTGGGTCCTCAAACCACAACCAAACCTTGACAATAATGCTCTTGGTTCTGTTGTTTTTTTCTGGAAGTTTTCAGTTTCACGTTTATCCAGGTTTTTCTTTGTTTTTAGCTTTATTGGTGTGTTCTGGATTTATTTAAGTTTCTTAGGTTTTTCTTTGCTTGTCGTCTGTTGCCCCCTTGTTTTTTCTTTTCCCTTTGCTTCTCGTCAGCTCTAATCACACCTGCTCCTCATCAGCTCGTTAGTCCTGCCTTTGTTTAGTCAGCCATAAATACACTCGCTGTGCAGTCCCTTAATGCTGGTTCCTCATCTTACTTTGTTTCACCCTGGCTCTTTGTGATCATTTTCCCCTGATGTCTCCATGGTTCTGGTTTGTGTTTAATTTTTACGTTGGATTTTGGATACCTGTCTTTGCTACCTGTGTTATCCCATTAAATCTTCAAAGAACTCACCCCTGCCTCTCAGCCTCTGCATTGAGTCCTCACAAAAACCTCAACCAAATCATGACAGACCAAGCATAGACATAATAATCCAAGATTGATACAGAGCCTAAGACAATGTAAAAACAGGGGAAGACCGGTTTGGAGACCTTCAGTGCTTATTAATTCAGTTTTAATAAAAAAAAATTGGAACAGACATTCTTCATGCACACAAAAAACAGCTAGCTTTATAAAAAAAACTCTCATCCTAAAAAGAGAATACAACAGGTTTAGGCAACATCGGCCCTTGAGTGCCGAAGCTTTTGGAATTATCCCTTCTCTGACACACCTGAAACAAACAAACTGTTAGTGGTCATGTCTCTGCTAAACTTAAAAACATGCCAAGGACGTAATTTGGCCTTTGTTTAGGTACTTTGCAGCATGCAAAGACTGTAGGAGAGCAGAAATCCAATGTTTGCTACCTGTTGGATGAAAGTATTTTAACGTTTTTATAAATCGTATCTTCAATCATTTGCAGGATGGTTATCAACATAAAAATAAAAGGCAGCTTCCACTGTCAGTTTACTGTTTTTAAACCCAAATAGGCTTTGACCAAAAAAATAGTATCCTAAGATCCTGTCTAGGCTGAACTATATGCAGTGTAGATATTTTTATTTTTTTTTTCCCGGGATTGGTTGTCATAAAAAAACTCGGGGATAAGTTTTGGGGGTGTTTGTTCCTTTTTTTTCTAATTCTCTATATAAAAATATATTGTCAATTACAAATTTGCTCATAAATTGAAGAGCAGTAATTTCAGGTTCTTTGCATTGTATTTCCCACAGGTCTGCTGCTAAAAGGATAAAGGAAGAATTTGAATCCTTTAAAGACAGGTATTGTACCTTAAAGCCATGAAGAACAACATACTATGTCACATGATGTTCAGGGAGGACATTATTCACATACTGTGTATTTTGTTTGGATAGAGTGGCATTAGACATGGCTGATTCAGTCAAGACAGGAGACACAGAGAGCATGAATGACCCTGTTAGCAAAACCAAACTGACTGAAATGTACGACAGTCTGAGACTGGAGGAGTGGATTGGAATCAAAGATTGTCTGAAAAACAGTGAAATCAGTCCAGCATTTTTAAGTGCTTTGATTGAGGTAAACTAAACTATTTGTTTTTTTTTAGTATCCCTTTTGGTGTAACTTTGGATTTTGTTTATATCAAATTACATCACATTGTTGCAGAGAACCTTTAAAGATGCAGCAGAAGAAATGGAAAGAAAAAAGAGGAAAATCGAAAAGGCGTTTGGATCCAGTGCTGGACATGAAAAGGTATTTAACACTTCAACTGTCTTAAATCAATAAGTTCTGAAAAGTTAAATAAATTTATTTCATGTTAATTTGCATCAAATGTCATTTTAAGGAACAGTACTAATTCACATCAACTGATCTAAAATAAAATTAGTAAAGATCGCAATTTAAATCAGTAAAATTCATGGAAATACATTTTGATTGTAAGATTCAGCAAAAAAGTAAAAAACAGCTATTCATGTCATGAAACGGGGATAGATTAGCCCAGTATTCAAGGAGAGACATTCAGTAGGAAAGGAGCTCCAAGGAACTGCTGCTTGCAGATGCTGCATGGGGGGGGGGACCCAAACACAGACACTATGTTGGGAGAAACACAGCTAAGTGACCATGATCATCTGACTGAAGATGATGTTCTCAGTGAGTCACTTACCTGGTTTAGCAGTCCAGACCATCACCCATGAAGGGGGTGCGATCCAGCAGATGGACTGATAGCTGACACAGTGCGCATCACCCAGAGTGTCCCCGGTGCTGCAGCTCCAGGGGATTAGCAGGCAGCCGATCCTGGTCAGGGATACAGATCAGGCAGGAACAGAACAGGTGGCAGGATCCAGACTTCCAGGTATCCTCAAGCTCCTAGGTGGGTTCAGAGTCTGACAGGGTCTGGAAGCGTGACCAGGTGGTCACGCACAGGAGCAGACAGGATCAGGCGCAGACGGGCAGGCTCAGTGGAAGAAGGTAGCAGAGGCAGGACGTGGAGCCAGAACTTGGTGGAGGACCTTTAAACTGGTCTCCACCTTGGAGCCAGGCTTACTTGGATAAAAACTGAACCTCCCCACGTACAGAGCCAAAAACCCAGAGTGCTCAGCAGGGGAGGAACAGTGGACGATCAGGAGATGAGACAGAAACAAAACCCTCTTTCCACTGGCTGCCAGGATCCAGGACATGAACCTTGGAATCAACAGAACAGACAAGCTAACAGAAAAACAGTTAATGATCTGGCCCCGAATTCTGAGGCTGAACAGAATATAAACCAGAGGAAACAGGTGAGAAGAATAAATGATAACGAGGCAGGGAGGGAATGCTGCAGGTGAAAGAAATGACCAAATAAGGGAGAGCAAAAAGGCCAGATCATGACAATTCATCAATATTCCATCTTAATACATGGCCTTTTTTCTGCCTCTCCGTCCTCACCTCTCTGTCATCAAATGATTAAGCAAAAGAAATTTAAAAGGAAAAAAGACAAACCTGTGCATTCTCAAAAAGGGGTAACAATGGAGTTCCTTTAATGTGTTCCTACCTTATTGGGAGCAATAGGAGGAGGGGAGGTGAAAGATTAGAGGAGCGCTTAATTAGTGATTGTATCATTTACACACACAGTACATCAACAGCCGTTAAGAACAGAATCTTGTAACTAGATATAATTTGTGTCATGATCGGTTCTCTAATGGAGACCCAAAGATGCAGAACACCACTGACGGACACAGGATGAAAAGTTTAACAAGTTTATTTGCACAAGCACGTAATATGCAGATGACTGGTTTGGGCCTGGAATCTGGTTTCACCGGAGTCTGCGTGAGAGACAACACAGTTAAGGACTGTTGACGGGGTTTTGGTTTCCAATGGTGCTCTGATAGTACCTTGAGGGTTCTTGAGGTTCTCCTTGGGAGAGTCACTGTTGGTTCTGGAGAAGGATGTGTTAGCAGAGTCCGTTAGCTGCTTCAGCGTCTCACGTCTTATTAGAACAGACCTTGGCTTGGGTTTCCTAGCTCTTGCCCAGAGCTGCTTAGAGGTAGACTGAGAATCTTCAGGGTTTGGCTCGGAGGGTCGGCTCGGCAGGTTAGCTCTTCCAGAGCTTTCACGGAGGAAGCACGAGTCACCTAGAGGCACAGAGACAAACGTTAGGATCTGACTCGGGATTAAGGACATGGAAAAATCACTGAGATCAAGGCTTTAGCGCTGACCAACTGGAACAACACTGCGGCGTTGAGGTAAGGTCTGAAGGCAGCTTAAGTAGTGGATCCTCTGATGGTCTTGATGAGCTGCACCTGTGCAGGAGGCTCCCTCAGAGGATCCACGGCGGACTCTGCGGGTATCAAAAATTTTTTGATATGGAATCAATGATTTTGAATAATTTACAGGTAATTTTATGTCAATCAAAATCCAACAGGAGTACCCATTTATCTTTTATACTTAAGACATCACATGCAGCAAAGACATGGGCAATCCACTTCACTGAAATCAGTCTGATGCATGCTTAGCTATAGCGTTGATCAAGGCGGGGCCAAAGATCTATCTGGTGGACTGGAACACACTTTGCATTCGAACAATCAAGTAGAATGCAAGAACAGGACTGCGGGTAATGGGAGTGACCAGCCTTCAGCAGGGGGTGAGGAGGAATAAACAGGGGAAGTAGAAAAATTTATCTGAGTAATAAAATAACTAAGACAGGAATACATACAGAATAAACTACAATCAAAATGCTGAACTAAATGAGAATCTAAGAAAAACGGGTTGGAAAGATCAAAACTTTGGTTAAAATGTAATGATCAGGAAAAAGGACCATGATTTTAATGTAAAAACAAAGATAACAAAGAGAAAGGGATTTATTGAGGACTACAATAAAGGAATGCAGGACATTCCTAAACATTGACTAGGAACCGCAGGTAATGCAGAGACCGATTAGTGGTCTTAAAAAAGCTCAGATAAAGATGCAACAATTTAATAGAAAAGCCACCAATCTTCACATAGTCCATGTGAACCTATTCAATGTGACAAAGGATTGGTTTCTAAATAGTGCTAAAAATGCCATTTACAGGTCAGGAAGTCGACTGAGCTATTGTCCAAGACAAGCAGGGTCAAACAAGGAAGTCAGGTCAGCAACATGAGGTACTGTATAGGCAGTGATTGGGTCAAACAGATAGAATCAGACTCAAGCAGACAGATCCAGGACGGGTCCGGGTTTATGGCTTGACCTGGCAAATCAAACTTGGGTGAATCCACATAGAATGATGCGAATGTGGGCAGACTACACGGAATGACTTTGGATATGGGGAACTCACAAATAAAACAATGTGCCAAATTAGTGTTCTCCCACCATAGAGAAAGGTCCTTAGACAAACATACCTTCTGACCCACCTGGTGTTCAGTTGCAGATATATGAGGCCAGATAGCAGGCTTGGTTTGTATCCCTCGCATCCTGATCAAGGACTTTCTGGCCATTCTCCAGATATGTTGTCACCTCATCGCAACAGTGTTGGCCAGTGAAAATGAGCCACATGTCATAGCATCTTCAGCCGGAAGCCCAAATTTACATAAGTTGATCACGCAAACCTGGGAAACATGTCAAGCATTAACCAACTTTAGCCTCCCTCTCTTGAATCTAGAACAGTAAAAAAGCATGAAAAATACAGAAGGGGAAAAGACCATTGGTGTTAGAAGGAAGGACAAGGTTGCATGTTCCACCCATGGTAAGTTGAATTCCCATTTAGCTGGGTCAGACTCACATATGATGCAAAGCTTGGGCTTAATCTCTTGGGTCGGGCTCTCTGTCTGTCCATTCATTTGTGGATGGAGGACAAACTGATGAAAATGCCCAGCATGTAGAAAAACTCCTACTAAAACCAAGAAAACACTTGCGATCCTCTGTCAGAAATGATGTCTGTAGGGAGTCCATGAAGGCGGGAGGACCTCCTGAGGTAGGACCTCCCCGTCTCTTTACCAAATGTCAACTTCTTGAGGGGAACCAGATTGACTATCTAAGATAACCTGCCGATATTATTCCTCATGATAGTGAAACCATTGGACGAGGGCAAACCTGTGACAAAGTCAATGGCAATGTTGGACCAGGGACAGAACAAAAAGATAAGCAATCGCCACGACTTAGAGGGTTGACATTGGTATGGCTTGGCTCTGGTGATATCCCCTGATGAACCCAATAAAATCCTTAGTCAGGGATAGCAGACAAAATGGAGACTAGATCACCTTAAGGGTTCTGCTGATTTCTGAGAAAGAAAACACAGAAACTGTGGCAAAGGTGAAGTACCTTGAGATCCGGAAAATCTGGAAGAAAAAAACGGTCTGGGAAGGATGAATTAGGAATAGGAGGGTCCTTGGTGGTTTTCCTGAGCTCTTTTTCCAACTCCAACATGGTTACTGAGAACCTGACATTCTCTGGGAGGATAAATTCATTAACACAAGGAAATAGCATCAGGTTTCATGTTTTTGGTCCCTACTCTGAAAGAGAGGGACAAAAAAAACACCCAAAGTACAAAGCCCGCCTGGCTTTCTTGGAGTTAAAGCACCCAGTAGTCTTTTAATTGTCCAAATTCTTATCGTCAATCCGAACCAAAAATGACTCCTTGGCCCCCCTCCAACCAGTCTCTCCATTCTTCCAGGGCACTTTTTTTTTTGCCAGATCTTCTCTGCCCCCCATGTTTTAGTTTCAGTCTGCAGTGGATAAAGTTCTAGCCAAGACAGCCCAAGGGGGAATTCAACGCTCTGGAGTCCTTTGGCTTAGAGCAGCATCTACCCCAGTGCTAGAGGCATTCACTTTCCCATTGACTGGAAGTAGATGACTCTAGCGCCAGAGGATTGGAGAACAGAAGCAGTGGAGAGACGGGTATTAAGCTTGGTAAAAGCTTCCTTTGTTTAATTATTCTAGAAAAATCTCACTTTGCTTTAATTGATGGCATGAAGAGGAGCAACCACTTGGCTATAATGCAAATTAACTAGCATTAAAGTTTGCAAACCCCAAGAATTTGTAATTGCTTGTGATTAGTATGTGCGGGTACTGCAAAAGTGCAGGAACCTTGGAGGGATATACAATAACTATCTGAAGAGGTGATGAAACCAAAGTAGGAAGTTCTGGTTGACACAGCCTCAGCATTGGTTAACCTAAAAGGCATGACCAAATACTTAATAACTACTTTTGGGAATGTTGAAAGCAATTTTCCACTCATCACCCTCTCTGACTTACATGGAAAGCACTGCAAAGCATTCAAGTCCAACTTTATAAAGAACTCACTTAGTAAGGAGCTCCCTGAATCTGATCAAACACTGAATTCATGAGGGGTAAATACAGGGTCAGTAAAATAAATGGTAATAATACCGGTGGTGAGTCTTACCTGAAGGTGATCACTCTTTTCTGTCTGGATATTCTCTGGAGGTCTGAAATGCCTCTGTCAGTCATGTCTGTCTGAAGGTCTGTTGAGGTAATCAGCGAGTCTCCTCTCTCCGTTTCTGTAGCTCCACATTTTCTTTTTCATTGTTTTTAATGTGCATTTAACTGGCTTTTTATGAAACCACACAGCTTGCCGTTGTTATCATAAATGATATTTTCTGCTCTGATGATCTCTCGCTCTCCGGCGTCTGAGCAGTTTGTGTGTGGAGTAGAGAGTGGATGGGGTTAGGCTGAGCCTGTGTACTGAACTGGTGATAACACAGTCTGAAGCCTCAGGTGGAGGGTTTGAATGACAGGACTGTACCCCAGTCTTAATGAGCTCCTTCCAGGTGCGGAATTGCTCTGGGTCTGGTATTCCTGTGTTCAATACTACCGAAGCTGAGCCAACAAAGACACCTGTCCTTAACTCACCCTGATTATGCTTTGCTCCGGTACTTGGCATGACTGGCCAATGGTCAGGAGTTTCAATCAGGAAATTAGGTCTAGACCTCCACTGGCTTGGGAGAACTAATGCATTGAGGGTCAGAGCTCAAGTGGTGTGATCAGAAGGGTTATGATGTGAGTCAACATACCTCCAAGTAGCCAGTTCAGCGACATTCTGGATTTCAGCCACAAATGTCCCAACAAAGATCTTGTAGTCGCAGGACTCTTTTTTTTTATTTCTTTTCTTTTTTGTAAGTTTCCGTAAAAATTCAAAAAATATCCACTGGACTTGGTTTCCAAGATTTGAAGACGTTTCTCCACCTCCCCAGGAAGCTTTCTCAATTCAAATGTCTGGATCTGCAGTGAGTTTTAGTCTTATATGGACAAAGCCTTGTATAGCTTGGAAACATGCAAATGGTAGCCGATGAATGGGTTGTTTGGTTCCATCGTTAGCCTGTAATATCAGAAACCTGTCTATGATTGTTAAGAGTCGGTCGTTAAGGAGGTATTGTTCACCGGCTGGGGCGGGTAGGTCCCTCGTTCCTCTGTGATGGGGTGGGGGGTTTGGTGATATCTGGAAGGGATCATGTCTATGATTGAATTGTATGTTTTTGGAAGCTGGAATCTGAGTCCACCACCTCTGTTTAAAGTTGGTTTTTCTCTCTTAACATAGATGGCTTCCTTCACGCCCCTCTCACACCACCTATTTTCTTTATCCAGAATGTGAACATTCTGGTCCTTTTTTTTAACAGTGTCCTGTCTGGCAATGTAGCAATAAGTATAATTGTGTTGATGCCAAAAAGAGGCCAACAGATTTTGCTTTCCCAAGTGGAGCAGTACGGCTATCGCCATAGTGTTCTGCTTGATTTATGCATATAAATAGCTTTATTATAATCATGCAGGGAGTATTATAGATTATATGGACACTGCAATGTAAGTAGAACAGAAAAGGAAAAACAGGAAAAATGAGAAAAGATCAAAGAAAGAGGAGATAAAAGGGAAATAATGATAAAACATTTTCATTCTGCTTCATCACCTGCAAACAGATGTAAAAAGAACAGCACAACCAACGGACATGGTACGAGACATACAATAAAGTAACACCTAGATACTATTGCTGAAGTATAAGTAGTATTATTTAATCTTACATATATACTGTGGTAGCTGAAGAAAAGAATATGGGCTTTCTGTTTGGAAGTGAATCTCTGGAACCTGGAGCCAAGTACCTGTAGTTGTAGTTGTGGGGCCCTGGGGGGACCAGGAATAAGCCAACACCAGTTCAGGCATCAACCCCCAAAACACAGAGCACCACCAATGTACCAGTGAGCCTAAGATCAGCCAGTGGAGGGGGGCAGGATGGGGGGAATGGGCTCCACACATAGCAGAGACTTGAGATGTTCTTGGGAGAGGGAGCAGTTCAGAGCCCTACCTGATAGAAAAAATAAATAGTCTCAATCACACCTTCCCACGCTAGTGCCCCCACCTGCAACACACAGGGGGAAAAAAAAAATACAGCGTATGCACATTCACACATGACACTCACATCCAAATATTACCGGATGACCCAGTAGGTGAACCCTGAAATCAGTATGGGGGAGGGGAGCCGTGTCACTGCCACACTAACACACAGGACCCCTTCCTCCCCCTTCTTACCCTAACTACCCCTCCATCCATCCCCTTTGGGGGGAGCAGAAGTGAAAGCACCAGCACCAACAGGCCACTCAGCCCCCGCAGCAACCCCCCCACCTAGACCCTGGCCCAGGTGGCCTGCTCTTCCTCCAGGCCCCAGACTCTGGGTGGCAGCCGGGGAACAGGGGTTGTTGTGTATTGCTCTCAGGTGTAATTAAAACTGTGAGTAGCAAAAGGGGGTGTCTGGCATATTGAACAGAATTCAGATCGAATAAAAATAATTTAGAAAAGAAAATTATTAATTTGAGTGTAACAAGTATAAGGGAAGTTATTCAATACACCTTGCCATGAAATACAATACAGGTAAAAAAAACAACTGGGAAATGTACTGGTGTAATCAACATGATTCATATCATGCAGGTTAAGGAAAACAAACAGCTGGCAGTTCATAACCTGCAGATAGCTCTTTACCACAGCCACAAAGAAGATCCTCTGAAGGTATGAGAATGTTTAGAAAACATACCAAAAACAATTTTACTTTAAAAGACTTAAAATGTAAATCTATCTAAATTCTGTTTTACAGAGTCCATTTCCAAAATATGACGGTGAGAAAGCTGAGGATATGATGGTGAATCTCAGACATCTGACCTCAGAGTGTCACTGGCTAGGCTGTTTACTTGCCTTAAACAATCCGCCTCTTCAGCCAGATTGGAAGACTCATGATGGGAAAAATTCCTGGGACATTTTCCCTCATGGTCTCATATAGAAAAAGCACATCATGCATGCTCTTCTTTCATACGTTTTAATTTAATTTGTTGATTTAATATATGCATGAGATCATATGTGAAATCAGCAAAAGAATGTTGATCAAATTTATTTAGTTTAAAATTATAATAGGGTAGGTCAAATTCTTGTTGGATTTTAGTAATGTTTGGTGCACTTGTGTTCTTTCTTCAAATTTTTCAGTTTTTTTCCATCAAATACAACTGTTCAGGTCTTGGTAATAAAATGAAAGAATCATTGGGAAGCATGCTGTGTGTGGAATTAACTTCTACCTTACTGTTTTTTCTTTAGTTTCTTTGTCATGCTACTATTTAGTCTAAGCTGATCTAATATAAATATATCGGTGATACATGATCATATCAATCAATCAATCAAACTTCTTTATTGTCAACTACAATTTCCATTGCAATCGAAATTTCAGTTTTCAGTATAAGAGTTCATCACAATACGTCACATACATGCTTGAGAGAGGAGATCGGATTGACTAAGGCCATGCGTGCCACAGAACGCTGCCTTTCAGCAGAACGGCACATTCTTATGGCTTGCCAGGTTACCTAGCACTGCTTTTATCTCTGTGGAAAGATAGGAGCCACGTTGGGGAAGAAAGGGGGGAAGAAAAAGCATATTTCACACTTTATCTTTGACAGGATACAGTTTGAGATATCAAAAAACGTCAGCACAAGAAAAGCACATGTAACACAAGACAGACATTTCAGCAGAGGAGTCACATCGGAGGCGTAGTCACATGAAGTCAATCTGACATTTGAGACATTAGTTGTGTGTGTATGATGAGTGCGTTTAATTTGTCCACGAACGCTGATCACAGGCAATGTCCTTGATAAGATGGAAGTTTATCAGTATCGGTTTATTAAACAGTCACTGAGTGCACCGACAGATGTTTTCACGGGTAGGTGAGAGAAGGGGAGCAGTTCTTCTGTGCCCTCTCGCTATAACATCCAGGGGAGATTAGATAAAGGGGGGAGGTCGAATCCAGAATAACACTTATTGTTTTGAGAGCAAGACACAGCAAAGCAGGGACAGGCAGGGAGGAGCATAGCCTGACGTAGTCCTACTCAATTCTAGTCAGAATGAGTCTGATGCTGCTCCATAGAGCTGTGATTATGGGGCGTGTTTCGAACGAACCAGGAAAAAAAATGCCTCTGCACTCAATTGGATAGACCTACAACCAATAAGAGCAACGGAGTGCGTGACGTATGTTAAGCGAGGCATAGTTGTTGTCCACAAAAATCAAAGCGTGCAGTTGCACGCCTAGAATAAGAAGATGAGCCTTGATCGCGTTTCTCTGTTCCTCTTTTAAAATTAATTTGCTGTCTATATCTTCTAGAACAGACCTAATAGCAGAATCTACTCACCTCAACTCTCCAGCGGCAGCCATTGTTGTTGTCACCCAAGCGCGCTTTGGTCACGTGGTTGATTACGTTACTGTTGGTCATCTGTCCATCATCGTATAAAGCCCGCCCTGACAATTTGATTGGATCGCCTGACAGTGGGCAATAATACTCGCGCTACTATGGAGCAGAGCCAGACCGAACTTCCCGACCTCAAACTTTGTGGGCGGGACTAAGTTCGGAATGGCACCCAGGCTAGGAGGAGCAGGAGCAGCAGGAAAATGCAACCACCTCCTTCAAGAGTCAGGACAGGAATAACTATATTTTCAAGATGAACATTAGTCAACTTGAAAATAACTTGCTGCGTTCTCTTTAAAGCTAACAGAACAGTTTTAAAGTTTAAGTTTTTCCCCTCTACCTATTGTGCATTACAACTTTTTGTGGGAAAATACAAATTACAGCGGTAAGCTCTCCTCCACATTCCATTTAATTTTTCTTTTGGTTAATTGCACTTTTTATGATTTTATATTAGACTTATTCTGGGCCGATTATTAAAATTTAGAATGTAAGGTGTGTTGCCCTTAAGGCATTTCTATTAATGAGTTAATAAGATTAAATAAATAAATCTTAAAACATTTCTATGATTACAAGTTGTTTAGTCAATCAGTTCATGCTTTGTATAAGTTTATATTAAAAAATATTGTCAGTAAATTGTACTTCCGGTTCTGGTTTGCCGTTTTGCTAGGAAAACAAAGAGTCACATGCAAGAAGCAGCATGGAAATGTTATCAGATGCAATCCACTCACACACAATCCACTCACACACAATTATCAGGCAGAAAAGCTGTAAGTTTCATTACATGACAGTTAATACTGATAAGTTTTGATATTATTCATGATCTTATGTGATTGTTATTTTAATGAGCTTGAAGCACTTATTTTAAGTATCAATGTCTATGTGTTGAGAAAGTGTAATCTTTGTCATTTAAGTTTTCACCACATGTTCATGAAGATAATTAAATGGGCTTCTGCTAAGACTCCAGGGTCTTCATTCATGGTTTAACTCAGTGTCACCAACATCTTCGTTGAAAACACTACATAAGGGCTGTAATGATGTGCTACTAGGGGTGGAACGGTTCACAAAATCCACGATTCGGTTCATGGTTTCGTGGTCACGGTTTTCGGTTCGGTTCGGTATATGTTGATTGTTACCCCGAAATCCCATAAAAATTAATTAAATTAATGAAAAAATCCCAAAAAATTAATGAATTGTCATTATTTTTAATCATTGGCGGATCTACCGGGGTGGCATTTGCCACCCTAAATCAAAGCCTTGCCACCCCAGTTGCCACCCCAGCTTACAACTTGGAAATTGAGAATCAGATCATAGCAATTTGGACACTTACAATATGGAAGCTCTGATGTCCGACTGCATTGAATGCAGCCAGGACAGGGTAGCGCGAGTGCGGAAGAGAGGCGGCTTTGTTTTGAATTAAAGTGGCGCGAAGGGAGGAGAGCGCCGCAAGGACAGAGGGCAGCAGCACGGAAGGAAAGAGGTAAGAAGAGTTAATTTACTAAATTATATTAAAGAGAGAATAAGAATGAAAATTTTTGCTAATAATAGTTGTACTGCCGAATCTGAGATAACGAAAAATTCATCGTTCGTGTTCGTACATGTTAGTGTGCAGGTCTGTGTAAGGTAGAGAAGCTGAAATTATTCAAACTTTGTCAAGGAAAACATTGTAAAGTTAGTTAAAATCTACAGAGATGAAGAGGAAAGACTGCAGCAGCATATCAAGTTTTTTCCTCCCGAAGAGTAAGGCGAGAGAAAAGGCAGAAATAAAAGGGAAAAGCAAGGCTGACGGAGAGGGAGATGAGGTGGAAGGAGAAGAACAGCATACATCTGACAGGGAGATCATGGATGATGACCAAACCGATGAGGGAAAGGAGGAAGAGGTAGAAGACCACAGCAATGAAGAGATGGAAGAGGGAGATTTTCAGCAAGATGAAGGAGGAGGCGAGAGAGGAGACAACAGGCAGCTCTCAGACAGTGACAGGAGAGAATCTGAGGCATCAAGCATCTCCAGGCCAGCTGGTCGGCATGGTATGGTGACTGCACACTAAGTTACATCTTAATAAGAAAAATAAATGATGACAAAATGGACATTTTGCTGTATTTAAATAGTTCTTGCTCAGTTCTCTTTGAAAAAATATATTTTGATAGTGATCATTGTTTGCTTTAATGTAAATTACTGAGAAACAAGAAAAAATGAATGAAAGAGTTTCAGTAGTATGTGAAGGCTGCAATGTTTTTAATCTAATGCTTAAGTTAAATTTCAAAATTAAATAAATTGACCTTAACATTTCCCTTAATAGGCTTATACATTATGGAATGCAAATTCATACAGCCTGATGGTTGGCTAATCAGTGATAATTTCATATTCTGTATATTAATTGTTAAAATGTTCATTTTACAGACATATCCAGGTCGTGGTGTGAGGGGCCGGCACAACCAAAACGTGAGAACTTCCCAAAGACTCTACAAGGGGGAGCCAAGAGAAGCTTCAGGATTGACTGGTATAATTCCAATCCCTGGCTGGAGTACTCGCTGCTGAATGATGCAGTTTACTGTTTTGCCTGTAGGCACTTTTCCCTTCCTGATGCACCTAGGACTGTTTTCACCTCCCTCGAAGGCTATCGGAACTGGAAAAAGGCAACAATGAAGGACAGTGGGTTCTGTTCTCATGCCAGATCTGAAAGTCATGTAAATGCAATGTTTGCATGGACAGAGAACAAGAAAACTGCAGACAAAAATACCTCAATTTTTGGACTAATGGATGAGAAAAATAAGAAAGAAGTGATTGAAAATCAGTACTACATTAAAACCTTAGCTGAGATCCTACTTCTCACTGCAACAGAAAACACAGCCCAGCGGGTCATAGGGAATCATCTGACTCAGATAAAAAGGGTATCTTTCTGTCTGTGTTAGATTTGTTGAGTAACCATAACCCAGATATTAAAAAAAGGCTTAAACAACAAGCTAAAAATGCCAAATATATGAGCAAAACAATCCAGAATGAAATACTTGAATGCTTGGCTGCAATGGTTAAAGAGGAAATCATTCAAGAAGTTAAAAAGAGCAAGCAGTTTTCAGTGATTGTTGATGAAACTTGAGATGTTCAGAAAAAAGAGCAAATGTCTTTTGTTCTGAGATACTTCTACAATGGTGTGGTTCATGAGAGCTTTCTGGAGTTTGAAGTGGCAGAACACATGGATGCTACTGCCTTAAGTGAAAAAATAATAAACTTTCTTGAGAAGCATGGGCTGGAGTATAAGGAAAACCTTGTAGGCCAGGGCTACGATGGTGCTGCAGTGATGCGTGGGGCAAAATAAAAGATGTAGCCAAACATGCCTTCTATGTTCACTGCAGTGCACACTGCTTAAACCTGGTCATAGTAGATGCTGTAAAAAGTGTGGAAGATGCAGGAAACTTTTTCTCCTTGTTGGAAAGAATGTATGTATTTATTTCTGGTTCCTCTGTACATAACAGATGGCTGGAAGTGCAGCGGGAGATGTTTGATTGTGCATCAACGGAGCTCCAGCAGCTAAGTGATACACGATGGGTGTGTAGGCACATAGCTTGTCGAAATTTTATGGACAGGTTGCCTGCAATAGTACAGGTGCTTGAAGAGATTGCATCTGAAAACAATCCTCAAAGAGCTGTTGAAGCAAGAGGGATTTTGGCTCAGATAGATATAAACTTTGCTGGATCTCTTGTTCTGTTCAGAAAGGTCTTGAGTGACTCTAAATTTTTATCAGACATGTTTCAGACTAAAACTGTGGACTATTCAAAAGTTGTTGAGCTTATTGAATCTCTTAAAGAGACACTGGTCCAG